CGAAAAGTCCGCAAATTTTAGTGACTTAGATCTAGACTCTAGATCTACGGTATATTCAGTGAAGATAATTCGCACACAGCTGCGAAAAGTCCGCGAATTTTAGTGACTTATATCTATACTCTAGATTTACTCGAAAGATAATTCTCACACAGCCGTGAAAAGTCCAAAAAATTTAGTGACTTAGAGTTAAAGTCTGCGAATTTTAGCGAATTACCTTTAGAGTCTAGATCTTCTGTAAATTTAGTGAAGATAATATTCACACAGCAGTGAGAAGTCAGCGAATTTTCTCGACTTTGATCTAGACTCTAGATTTATGCTAAATCACTAGAATATATATAGTGAAGATATTTCTCTCACAGTTCTGAAAAGTCCGCGAATTTTAGTGACTTAGATCTAGAGTCTAGATCAACTGTAAATTCAGTGAAGATAATTCTCTCACAGCCTTGAAAACGCACATTTTAGTGACTTAGATCAAGAGTCTAGATCCTCTGTAGATTTAACGAAAATATTTCGCATGCAGCTGTGAAAAGTCAGTAAAAATTATTTCAATCGTAAAAGCCAGGGAAACTATGTGGTTGAAAAAGATTCTGCTTGGGAAAAATTACGCGAATAGGTCTAATCCCCCCTCCCCCATCCAAAAACCCATTTTTTAGTAAGCAAATGTCAACTAAACATTCAAATAGACCTATATATTACTGGCTCTGTTTATGAAAAGGATTTAAGTTAGCTAATAAAAAAATAAAACATTACCTCAAATGCACACCATGACTCTAGTATCTATAAGATACACATAGGAACTAATAACGTACATTTCCATCGCAGAGAATACACATTATGATAGCATCTCTAAGAATGTTTCTTATTTTAAAAAATGGAAAAGCAACCATTTGTAATGTTTTTAAATAAATCTTTAAAAAAAAAATGGTTGTTTGAGGTTTTGGGATGACAGTCAAGTTGTTACTTGATTAAAAGATAACTTTCATTACATTTTCTGTGGACACACCACAGCTGATAACATTGTTTCTGTGGCATATTGGCAAGATATTTATTATTTTTAAAATCAAATAACTATAATTGATTTGATAAATGCTTAGTTTTGTGTATGTTTTACTATGTATCACACAAACGGATAGGAAACACACACACACACACACATCATACATTTCATCCTTAAAAAAACTCCTAAAATCTAAAATTTTGTCATGAAAAAGTGCTACTAACCCTGGATAATAGTTTCTCAGAAAATTGGTTTTCTTATGATCCTAGTTTCTAATGAAATCTTAGTGTAAAACTACCTGAACATTCTTTGTAATGAATATTTAATTTTATAAAAAGGGAATTAAAAATTCATTAGTCTAACTGCTTTCATTTAAATATGTAGTGTCTAGGTATTATAATTGTATCCATCCATTAAATTATATAGTGCAGCCAAGTAAACATTAATTTGGTTACTTTAAATGTTTATTTAAAATTTTATTTCCAGCACCAAGAAAAATAAGTTAATGAAAGTCAAAGTCATATTTTAGTAAAACTGATAAATTACTTCCTGCTATCTTTGGTAGAAAAGACATTTTAATTAGTAATTATATGATTTAATCAAAACAAGTAAGCAGTGTTTGTATGTACAATTATTATTCCTTTTTGCGTCCTAAATCACGATACTTATATTTTCACTCACATGTCATGTACTGGGTTTAGTTTTAAAAGTATTAACAGTATCTGGCTTTCAGGCCTAACAATAAATGCAAACAATCTACTTATATCATATATACATTTTATCCTTTTCTAATTTTAGTTTTTTTTTTAAATATTTTGAGTATGCACTTCAATATACATTTTTGATAAGAAATGAACAAACTTTTTACATCACTTTTAAATATAGATTGTATATGATAACTCTCAAAGGACACAACTTTGTTTCAGGGGGACACATGTGCCAACTGTGGAATAAAGATTCACCTAAAATGTTCCAAGTCCTTGTTTTCAAGGCAAGGGGAGAAAAAAACTTGCCCAGCTCCAGACTGTAGAGTTGTGTGGGGTCAGATGAGGATGTAAGCCTGTAAATAATTAAAACTGTTAACTGAAAAGATCATTGCTTATAAATTTTATCTTGTTTCAATATAACCATAGCATTGTAAAAAAAAACGGTACGTGACGTTTTGGCTCGAGCCGTTATGGCGCGAGATATCATTTGACGATAATTTAATAACCACCTAGCTTTTATAACAATGTTTATTTCACTCTACCATAATATTGTATGTATAGTATGAATTCTAACACCGTTCAGCGAATTTTTTTTTTTTTAATTATTAAGGTTTTTCTTATTTCATGACTATAGGCCTATAATAAGTCAGATTCCTGAATGGTAATGACATGCTATATGTGAATTCTGCTAATTGCACTGGGTGACATTTTTGGATTTCTTTCCAAAAGATTTTTTTTTTATTTGACATTAGTGTAATATACGAACTAGCTAAGTGTCACTCTTTAATATAACAAAAACCATGTTAACATCTAAAGCTCTATTACGCTGAATGACGACAATAACTCCACACATAGTAAAGATCAAGACACGGAATGTGGTCAGTACAAACTCTAACGTGAAAAGATATATTTTGAGAAATTGGGTAGGGGTGATTTGGGTGACACATCTCGCATTGGCGCAGGTAGAGTTAAACTAATGAAGACAAGACCAGCACCGAGCACTGGTCGTTAGCGTCATGCGTCTAGCGATCATCTCCTTGGGAATTGTCATTACATGTGACACCTATCCCGCCCCCTCTCTTCTGCTCACATTTCACTCCTTGTATATACTCTTTCCTCCTCCCCTCTCTCACGTGATTTTTGTTTTTAATTTTAAAGTAATATCTTAAAAACCTTTTTTGAAAATAAAAGTGTGCCTCTTAATAAACACACATACACAGGCCAAAATGTTTATTAAAGAAAATGATGTGAAAAACAAACACACATTTACATTTAGTACCTGAAAAATATGTCTTAACACAAACACTCATGCAAAACATAGATTTTAATAATTTTTTTAAAAGAAATAATACAATAAACGTACATAATGTATTTTGCGCCAAAACGTCCCGTCACCAAAACGGCTTGCGCCTAAACGTTCTTCGTAAAAAAACAGAATGCTGCTTTTCATTTGTCCAGACTGTGCCTTTTGTAGTCCCCTACCAGCTTGTATCCAATAGAAATACTGTTATCATTGAAGCTAACAAGATGATCATTTACTTCTACATTCAATTCATTTAATATGAATGAAAAATGGCTAGGAAGTCACAAAATCTCAAAATGGACACTATAATTTGTATGCAGCTAATAAAGTATTTTTTCCCCTAGTATTGAAAGTTTCTGTATTGTAGTTTAGAATAACCATTAGGTAAAAAACAACAATAGACAAATTATGCACAACTTTTTATTTTCAATTTCTTGGCTAAATAAACTGTTTCAAATTGAGAAATCTGGCAACCATATTGAAACTAAATAAAAGAATAAGTTCATGTATAAATGGTAACCATTAATCGGTCTGTATCTGGAACACTACAAATAATTTGCTAAACTCATTCACTTGTTGATCCATAGAAATAAGTCATTTACAACACTATTTGTAGTGGCATTTTTAGCACAATTATTGGAAACGTTTGTTTTTTTAAAATTTATTTCTTTCGATTTTGAAATAACATTTACAAAAGTTTGTATTTTCAATCTGTTGATAAAATTCATATGTTTGAATATCAGTACTACAAAAATAATAGAGATAGACAGTGGTAAATATGTCACCATTGTATTTAATGCTCTGCTACTTTAAAAACATCTCATTATTTATAACAAGATAATTAAAGAGAACTCCAATCCTAACTTTTGTGGGTGAAAAAAATATATATGTAATAAAAGTCAAACAAACCATAATCAATTTGAACATGTTGAAATCTTCAAAGAATCATTGTACTGAAAATCTCACTTATAAAATAGATATATTGCTTTTATGGTTAACAAAATTATGAATTTATTATTTTTACTAAATCTTAAAATCACAGGTTAGAATAAATACTATATTAAAGGTGGTTTGGCAATGAATGATAATAAACATAACAAAAAAAAATCAGTTTAAACAGATACATTTTATTAATACTGAATGGAGAATTGAGTAAATATTTGAACACAGAAACTGAAGGAAAAATAGAAATTAGAAAACACAATGAAAACAAAACATAGAAATACTGAAAATTTAAACTTTTCTTCACATAAATGGTATGAAATACAGTTATAATTAATCTCAGTCTTGAAGAACAAAAATAAAACTTATAAAATTGCTTTAATGTTTTGTGAATATTTTTTTCATATGATAGGGAAAAGAAATAATTCTAGTACTGAAATAAAACAGGATTGAATTTAGGAATAATTCCATTGAGATTCCTTCTTTTTTTTTTTTTGAGCTACTTTAACAAATACCACTTGAATACAACAATTATTTTCAACTCTTGACTGATTTGGACACATTTTTTTGTCTGAAAATACTGAAATACATAGTTCATCAGATCCAGATTTAAAGAGTAGGTAAAAGATATATATATATATATTTTACTTGAAAAGGGTAGAGCATTTATCTTTTGTAACCACTTTTTATGTCCATTTGTTTTATTACTTTTTACTGCAGCATAATTGCTAGTTAGACCGAAAGTAGCTTGCTTATTGGTATTTTCAAATCACATTTTTTGGGGATCTAAAGTATAAATAATTTCTAGTTGCATGAAAAGAATAAATAAACATTACATTATTTATCAAGATGTTAACAGTATGTTGCACTGAGCTGTTTAAAAAAAATGTATGAAGATTTAAAAAGCATCCATTGTTCTTTTAGTACTAAAAACCAAATTGTTTATTATCCATCAAATTTTTCAGCTATGAAACATCAGTTATTTCACATTATTGTGATAGAACGTGTCATTCTGTAAGGATCCATGTATTTGGCTTTGTCTGCTGGACTTATATCTTTAGCTCGTAGTCTTTCTCTGAAAATTAAATAATATCATAATGAACTGGGTAAAATATTTCTATAAATTAAAAAAAAAAATGTCTTGCTTATTGTGTTTCTAAATGACAAATAGTTAACAAAAATAGTGGCAATTGTAAAAGCATTGACTAAATCAACCATTCATGAGTATTTCTTAATTAGGTTTGGATGAATTTTTTTATATTTGAGAGCCTGATTGTGTGATTCACTTTTAACACCTTGTGTTTTATTTCCAATCTGATATTTTGTTTCAGTTACCAAGAAGGAAGAACTTTCTGTTACCAAAATGTGTTTTATTGTGTTTAATTTGCTATTTGATATTTTGTTTCTGTTACCAAGAATGAAGAACTTTCTGTTACCAATTTTTGTATATACTGTGTTTATTAAAAATGTTATTAAGAAAAGGAAGTTTAGTCTTTTTCTTTTACAATCAGAAATTACCAAGAGGTTTAGCAGTTAGATGATACATAATTTATCAACAGTATAATAATCAATATCTACTTTTTAAGACAAAATGGAAAAAAAAAAAAGGATGAGATAAGGGCATAGCAATCTAAAGATATTTCATTTTCAACAACTTTTCTCACATTGAAGACCAACTCACTGCTTCTTCTGTATATACCGAATCAGAAACCCCATTGGTAACAAACCATGCTGAGAATTACTCCCTTAGAGGTTGTGAAAGGAAGCAGGCAGTAAGTTTTAAGGTCGCCTTGCCCCCATACAAGGACAGCCTTAATGCCCCACACGAACCAGTTCTCTCTCTCTCTCTCAAATCCTTGTCTCTAGAATGTGGTCTATTGTTTTCACATCCTCAATGCAGTGGCGACACCATGTGTCGTAATTCTCCCTGAACGTTCCGAAGTAAGCACTTATTGGACAGTGTCTGAATTGGAACTGGCCATCACGCGTCCTTTTGGTCTGGTCTACTCAACTGCCTTTGGAGCTCATGGCCTTTATCGGAAGCATCCCAATTGTCGTACCAAAGCGCTAACAATCGGATGTCGGCTAGGGATTGTACACTCAGGAGAGTGCATGGTTCATCATGTAACTTTGCCATTTGCACCGCAGACTTTGCTAAAAAGTCAGCCCTCTGATGACTGACCAGACCACAATGGGCTGGAACAAATTGAATGTACATTGAGCGGCAGAAGACGTTCCACCACCACAAGGAATGCTTCCACCCTTCCGATGCATGCTGCCCTTCAAGGGCATCTTTATATACCCGAAGATTAGACAAATATGACTGAATAAGGTTCTACAAATCAGTAAAATTTTGACTTATGTTGCTTTTAAAGAACTACCATTTAGTAGATTTTTAATATCTCCTTGAACATGAAGTGATCCATAAGTCATGTTTAAATTGTAACAAAGAGTTTTCTGCAAGGTATACAGTGCACACGTCTTCAAGCATATGGTCTGTAAGTTACATACAGGATATGATTATGTTTGTCCAGCAAGTTACCTTTTGGTTATAATGAGGTTTGGCCTTCAAGCTATATTTAGAATGCGATGATGTTTGGCCTGTAAACTACATTCTGGATATGAGGTTTGGCCTTCAAGCTATATTTAGAATGCAATGATGTTTGGCCTGTAAACTACATTCTGGATATGAGGTTTGGCCTTCAAGCTATATTTAGAATGCGATGATTTTTGGCCTGTAAACTACATTCTGGATATGAGGTTTGGCCTTCAAGCTATATTTAGAATGCGATGATGTTTGGCCTGTAAACTACATTCTGGATATGAGGTTTGGCCTTCAAGCTATATTTAGAATGCGATGATGTTTGGCCTGTAAACTACATTCTGGATATGAGGTTTGGCCTTCAACCTATATTTAGAATGCAATGATGTTTGGCCTGTAAGCTGTATTCAAGGTATCTTTTAAGTTTATTTAATAATTTACTTACTGAAGAAATCGGGACAGTTTTTGATTTGGTCTATTAGTTCTAGATTTGAAAGAACTTGTGCATCCATTAACATCTTGAGCCTCCTCATATTTCTGTACATCATACCTTCCAGCGCCAACAGGATTCTGTTAAAATACAAAGTGAAATTTTTCTATGACATTGCATATAGAATAATAATAAGGCTACACTTCTTCCAAGGCTTTTTATTTAAAATTGAAAATGGAATTAAAAAAAAAAAGTTCATTTTTAATAGTTCTAGAATTGATGCCATTAAGAATGCTTTTACTTTGTCAACATCTATGTTTTAGCAAGTTACTGAATGAAATGTGATACAACTATCCCTTGGAAGTAGATATAGGAGAGATTTTGTGCCATTTTACTTTAAATAATGATCATTAATTGATTTCAAAATTACGGTATTGTAAGATTAAATACTCACATAGTTCCCAGTAAAAAATTTTTGAGATAATTTATCATCACGTTTTGCTGATGAAAGAAATCCTGGAATGTTGACGCCATGAGAGCATTTACTGTTGTGTTGTTTTACATCATAACTTCCAGGACCTGGAAAATCCTAATAAAATTTTTTTTTTTTCAGCTGACTAATAAAATTTAAAAAAAATGTTAACAAATAAAAGGTAGTACTAAAATCTTATGAAAATGACTCATTTTTCAATTAACAATGAGAGAATAATTGAATGTAGTCTGCATAAACAAGTAAAATAAAAAAACAAATGTAGTTAAGAAGATTCAAGAAACCTTAAGTCGATTAATTCTTTTTGAAACAAGAAAAAAAAAAGTCATTTAAGGTCCATTGGCTTGGCCATGGTCACTGAAGAAAAAAATTGAATGATGTATATTTCTCCAATTTAAAAAAAAAAAATTCTTTTAATAACAAATTTTACAAAATGCATTATCAAATTAATATAATGAAATATTTCATGTTAAAACTATGTTCTATGTCCATGACAGCTGAAATAATTAAAAATGTACATATAATTTACTAATACCTGTAGAAATGTATCTGGATACTGATCAACTTTAGCAAATCGTCCATGACTTCTTTTGTGCTCATTATTTAATTCATCCACAAAAGATTTGATATCATATTGTCCAGGACCTAGGTCTGCTGGTCTCTGTATTAAATAAAGCTTCGTTCAAAATTCTGTTTATTCATAAATTACTTTTTTATTTTTCCTGACTACAGAAAAGTGTGACATACGGCATTCAAAACATTCATTGCCCTCATTGCTCATGGTCATTGAAAAATAGACCAACAGATCAGCAGCAAGCTCAAAACCCAGCTGGAGAGTCTTTAGTGAGTTTTAAAGCTTTTTTTTTATTCTCAACTTAGGATGAAGGCTGGGTGAAGTAGCTGTTGACTTGCAGTTATTGTTACTACCTATAGAAAGCCAAAGATTATGATCACCCAATATTAACACCATCATGCCCTCATTTGAGATGGGCTAATAGTTTGGTTCTGTGGTGATATCACTGTAGATAGCGAAAATCAATTAGATGGGGATGTACCAACCTTAATCTGGCTTCATTGAAGTTTTGATAAGCCCAAATTGTTATCCTAACTGTTTAATAAAAATTTTGAGGTACAATACTCCCACTGTTGGGAGGAAGAGAAACCATGTTTGAAGTTCTCTATTTTTGCCAGAATCCAGCTTATATAGTTTGGGAAATAACTTGCATATGACTGTATTGACATATATAAAGTTTTTAAAATGGAGAAGAAAATGTATAACTTTATACTTAACCAAGAGAAAATGTTATGGTGTGGTAAAGTGTGTATATCCTGATATGCACATTTGTATTTTTAGAAAGGGGAAAAAACGCTATTAGTTTTGTGTGGCCTGTCTGTCTGTCTATCCGTCCCATTTAGATCTCGTAAACTAGAAAAGATAGTGAAAATCCGACATCACAATATTTTAGACCATTCAAAGTTCTGATGCAATGGCTACTTTTTTTTTTGAAAGTGAAAAATCTAATTTGTTAAATCATTTATGCAAGCAGTTTTTTTTATAAAAATTCACCACTTTTACAACTATTCACTATTAATAGTAACAAACACTTGAGGCTCTTTATTAGGGGAGACTAATATTTACCATATTTTTAACACATTTATGCAAACCATTTTAGATTTTTTGTCAATCTATTTAGTATGCATATTAGTCAGATATAATTTAAAACAACAATTAATAAGTAGTTTTTCATATTATCTCATGAACTGCAGTGCTATGGTCTTTGGTTAATTATAGAACACCTAACCAAAGAACAGATTTAACAAAAAATTTTTTTTACAGAAATGTTTTATTTTTGAGGAATAAGAGATTGGCCCTTTACAAAACAATTAGATCAATTAGATATTCATTATAAGACATCAGTTAGGCCAGGTTCACATCTAACTTCACATTCACTTTCTCCTATCCTTTGATCTGCTGGAACGCTGGGGCACCACATGAGATCTGTTAACCTTTATTTCTCCATTGTTTTGTGTCATTTCTCTTTGATAGAATTTCTTCTTATAATATTGAAACCTGCCTTTTTACCTGCCTGGGTGGACCACTTCGGGGGCCAATTTTCAGTTTGTGTTTCCGCACAAACTGTCTTTGTAACCTTGTTATAACAAAGCTTATATCAAATTACTGTCTATGCATCCACCCTTATATAATTACTGACAGTACTTACCACAATCGCATGGTGGCCTATGACTGTTTTTGCATCTCTTTCTAAAGAAAACAAATTGTAAGGCCCCTTTATACCTGTGACTTTATTCAACAGCTGTTCTGTACAAGATGTATGGTTGTATGTTCCTGTGCCTAGATGAGAACCCTAAAATAAAAAAAACATTTATTGTTTTTACAAAGCTTATATCAACTCACTCTGTCTGGTCAAAAGTGCGTACATGTTATTTCTCCCACACCCATTCTCGGATCAAGCTGAAACTTTGCAGAATTATTCATTGACATAGACAAGAATGAATCAATAAAAAAAGTAACTAATTAGAAAATTAATTACTGGTAATTCATTATTATCTTTAAAAGCAACAAGGGAAACTAATACTTCAGTATTCACATATGGCTAAATCTATAATTAATATATATTATATTATTGGTAATTAATTATTTTGTTTGATATTAATAAGGGAAAAAGCTTGCACATTATTGGTAGATATAGTTTTTTTATATTTTACTTGTTCATTATTTTTTTTTAATAATAGCTGTATTGAATTTATGTTTTGAGCATTTGGAATTGCTATTTTTTTTTTTATAAATAATAAAAGTTTACCAACATAACTGTAATCTAGACAGTGATAAACAAATAGAAAAAAAAAAACTTACAATAGAGGGTAAATTCCGCTTACGATCTCCAGCATCTAAAATCCCTTTTGTGCTTGCAGATTTCTTAGCTTTTTCATCCATGGCTTTTTGGGGGATGCCATCAATCCCATAAGTGCCTGGGCCAGGAGTAGCACTCTGGAAATAG